ACTTAGGGATCCGCAGAGTCTTCGCAGCTTGTGCAACAGACCTCAGCAACTCAGCATTTTGGCTAATCTACTTTATTTACATATAAACACACACAGAGCACTGCAACATGGCTCCCTCTCTCTCTAGCATCAGACAGCAAAGAGAAAAAGAACAAAGGACAATAGTCCCACTTCATGGAACACAGTAACGCAAACATCCTGTCTCCATCGCTTCCCACTTTGGGGAGTCAAAACATACACCATCAGGTGAAAGACAACAATCCCATGACTGCAATCACGGAGCAGGAATTCTAACGCAAGCTGGGGGAGGCTGGCTAATCACATACACATGTACACAGGTAGGCGGCCTCCACAGTCACTTGCAGATTCACTGTTAAGACCATGCTCATGGAAGACAATCTTACTCGGCTACGAGTGATCGCCAAAGAAGGAAGACGTGGCCAGGAGCTAGGATTGCTACCTTTGGTTGGACAAAATTTGGGCAGGTCGGGCAAAATAAAAGACAGATTTGGGTGGGGATGGGGGGGCACACACACTTTTGTGACACCAAATCCTCCTGCCCTTTGTGGAGGGGGGTTCCTCACATTTGGCATCCAGCCTCCCTCACCACCCGGGCTCCGCTATTCCCCTCAACTCATGTAGACGGGCAGGAGCCAGGAGTAGATGGCTGGCTCCTATGGGCGACTTGAGCTGCAGCTCCAACCTCTCGCCCATGCTGGCATTGGAAGAGCCTCAAGCATGGAGGAGGGAGGAGTAGAGGACAGGGCAGGGCAGTGGAGGGGGCCAAGCAACGGCGGACCTGCACCATGCTAGACCAGCGGGAAGCAGCTGAGAACGAGCACCAGCAAAAGGGCAGGAAGGATGGCTGAGGGAGGGAGTGAAAGGAAGCCGCTCCTTCTTCCTTCTCTCTATTGTCACCTATGCCAGGCTAGACTGAAATCTTGTGTATGTAACAACATTGCACGTAAGTTCCCCTTCCCAGTCATTGTGCTGAATTCACAGATGTTGGAGCTGCAGCTGAAAGAATCAGCAGGTGTGGTCAGCCCTTCACGTACTGAAGCCTGTAAAGGTGACTATTTGAAGGGGGCTTTACTGTATCAAAAAGCACTTCTACTGGAAGAAGATAAAGTTCCCACAAAGCGTGTTCTCCTTCATGGAGAGCACGTGTTGCGGTGGGGGCTGGCAAGACACCCCATAGTTGTGGGGCGGGCTAATTATGTCGTTGGCCGCTGTTGTGATTGGGCTTCCCTTGTTGTTGGGGAGAAGTTAATGTTGCCATTTTGTGATTGACAGCCAGAAATGTTAAAGGTCCCTGCATGCAGCATCTTTTCGCTGCGAGCATCAGATTGCCCGCCCTCCCTCCCTATATTTAGGGCTGTTCGTGTTGACCTTGCTATGCCTGTCATGGGGTTGTCTGCTCTTGGGGCAAGGGCCCGGTAGGAATTTTGTCCATTTGGCTGATTGGCTGGTGCCATTTGGTTTTCGTCTACTGTGTAGCAAATCGTCACAACTTGTAAGGTTGGTTTGGTTGGTCGAGGGGCATGGATTGGCTGTGCCTGCCCCTCTAATGCTGCTGCTGCTGCAAGGGTATTCTGTTAAAGGAATACAGAGGCTCACCATTGCTTTTGTCCGAACCCTGTCAAGGGGCTAGGGCCACGCAAGAGCCCCTGGGTGCATTTGGGGAGGGCTGAGGACAGGTTCCCTGCTCCGTCGCTATCCCCAAAATGTATTCCCCTTTATGACTTTTGCAGGCGTGCGAAATGTCAGTCTGTCCCCACCGGGGTCAGATAGTCGCAACCAATGCCTAAGCAACCATTCACATTTTTTGTATTTTAATAAAGTTGTGGCCAAAATTATGCCAGAAACCTTAAACAAAAATTCTGTGTGAAGTGTGTGTTATTTGGGGTGGCTTGGGGACCTCGACACGCAACCAAGTCTTGGCGACAAACAAATGGTGGCAAAGAAATTAAAAATATAGTGAAGTATCATTTAGGCAGTATTTTGGGGAAATCCCTTTAACCGTGAACAGCGGGCTGAAATGAAATTATTTCATTGTTTCAAACCTGTACCTTTTTGTATCATGTGTACTATTATTTGGGGGGAAAGTATTACCACTAATCTAAAACCTGTGTGCTCCTTTTCAGCAACAGTATTCTCATCTAGCTCATCTAGCTAAGAAACATATCTTGAAACCAAGCACTCTCCAGCGTATAACATAAAGCCCACCATGATAAGGCCTTGACCACAGGCCTTTGTCAAAAAACACATGTGGAAAAAGAGACGAAGAAGGTGTAAAGAAAGACAACAGGGAAAAAAATTCCAGTGCAAATGTCAGTGACTTAGAGAAGCACAGGGAAAAGTTCTGAGGCAGTTCTTAAAGTGTAGGCGGAACAAAATCATGCAAATATCTGGAGGCGATGAGTTCCAAAGATAAGGGGCTGCCAAAGAAAAATGATGCAGGCAAAAAAGATATATCAGATGTAATCTTCAGTCTAATTCCGAGATTGGTATCAGAAGAATGCAGAGTTCTGGAAGAAGAATAAAGAGAAATTAAAGAATGAACATTCAGGGAAATAACCAGCTGGGTTCATGCTGCACATCCTAAATTGAATCCACTCGCTCTGTTTTGGGTTGTTGCTATGTGATTCTATTTTAAGTAAGGGGCAAAAATGTTGGAATTCTATTTTGGTCAGCAAACCCTTGTGTTTACATATAAAAGTTTACATGGCTGACAAATAGAGATGGGGATAAATTCAATCCATTTTACTTTTAAAGGCAAACATACTGATTATGTACATTTCAAAACAATATGCAAACTGAGACAGAGCCATCGTTTGAAATCCACACCTCTCTGAATTTTGCAGTTCAGTTCTCCAGCCAAGCAATGTGTTCAAAAATGCATATACAAGAGCAAAGGGTGCATATACTGTAAGTGCATATATGCATGAGACCAAAATACAAAAATGCATTATATAAGGGGAAATTGCTTCTCAAAAATGTCCATATTAGGAAAAATTGCTTAGGAAAATGTGTGTGTTACAGGAACATCACACCAATATGCTGATGAAATTTCATGAGTACAGTGGTACCTCAGGTTACATACACTTCAGGTGACATACGTTTCAGGTTACAGACTCTGCTAGCCCAGAAATAGTACCTTCGGTTAAGAACTTTGCTTCAGGATGAGAAAAGAAAACGCATGGTGGCAGGGTAGCAGCAGCAGGAGGCCCCATTAGCTAAAGTGGTGCTTCAGGTTAAGAACAGTTTCAGGTTAAGAACGGACCTCCGGAACGAATTAAGTACTTAACCTGAGGTACCACTGTACTTCTAAAAAGAAAATCGCTAGCTGTTGTGAAAATGTGGAAAACAACTACTCAGAAGTAAGTGCCGCTGAGTTCAATGGGACTTACTCCTAGGAAAGGATGTATAGGACTGCAGACTTACTAATTCATAAACATTGTGTATGTTCATTAGAAGGATGAGATGATCAATCAATTTCCAGTCCCCTGCAGTGTGTGTCATCTTCAAGGGATGATACACAATGGGAGCAGAGGAATTTAAGAAAGAGCATACACTGGGACTAGGCAAGAATCCATGTTCCCGAACCAGATTTTTTGCTGATGTTATTAGAAAATGTAGAATATATGAAAGATGCACTCAGTGCAAGATTAAACCAGAAAGGCCTTCACCCTCAATGAATGTCAAAATCTGTTCCTTGATGGAACTTCTGTGCATAGGCTTTATAAAGGAGGACTCAGACTACAAGGCTACTCAAACTATTCTAATGGTCACAGAACATTTCTCCCAGTATACTCAAGCATGCATCCAACAAAGCAAGAACTAAGCTGGCATTTTATGGGGAAATGTTATTAGTCACTGTGAATTTCATCATAGAATACACAGTGATGGAGTAGCCAGGTTTACTGACTCAGAGCTTAAGGAAGAACTGCACAATCTGTGTGGAACTAGGGCTGTGTTCACTCACTGCATATCCAGCGCTGAGTTTTTAATGTGTTCACACAATGTTGCGCGTCGAGGTCCCCAAGCCACCCCAATAACTCACACTTCACACATCAATTTTTGTTTAAGGTTTTTGGCATGAATCTGGCCACAACTTTATTTAAATACACACACGTGAGTGGTTGCTTAGGCATTGGTTACGGCTATCTGTCCTTGCCCCAGGGACAGAACTGACTTCCGGATTCCAGAGGAAGCCAGTCAGGGAAAACAATATTGGGGAGAAATGAAGCTGGGCATCAGTCCCTCATTTCTCACCCTCATGCCCCCGGGGGCTTGCACGGCCCAAGTCCGATGCCAGGGACTAGGATGAAAGGATGGCAAGCCCCTGGATTCCTTTAACGGAATTCCCTATGCAGCACCACCATTGGAGGGGTAGGCACTTACCCCTACACCAACCAATTTTAACCAATGCCTAACCACCAACCTTACAAGTTGTGACGATTTGCTACGCAGTAGGCAAAAACCAAATGGCAACAGCCAATCAGCCAAATGGACAAAATTCCTACCAGGCCCCTGCCCCAAAAGCAGACGACTCCATGACAGGCATAGCAAGGTCAGAGGACAAAGAACACCCCCCTTTTCAGGGAGGGTGGGCGGGTGATCCGGTGCACGCAGCCCAAGAGAACACGCAAGGCTGCGTATCCCGTATTTAAAACCTCTGACCCCTCCCACCAACTAGCAGCATGACAATCTTCCCAGCGACACACCTTGCCCAATCACAGCTTGTGGCCATTCAAACATACTCACCCAACAACAGTGGGGTGTCCTGTAGGCCCCCACCGCAACACGTACTCCCTGTTAGGTAGAACACGCTTTATCCAAAGTACGTATATATTCTTCACTTTGTTTTTTAAGAAAACCCAACACTACTGTTTGATGCATTATTCCTCACACCGGCTTCACACCAATTGGAGTCCTTAAAGCTGTTCCTAATGTGTCTCCAGCCAAGGTGTGAACATCCACACCAACAGAAGAAACAGGCCCGAGCAGCTCAGTTGGTAGACCATCAGACTCTTAATCTCACTGTCATGAATTTGAGCCCCATGTTGGGCGAAAGATTCCTGCAATGCAAGGGGTTGGGTGAGATGAACCTTGTGGTCCCTTCCAACTCTACAACTCTATGATTCTGTGAAGTATGTGGCGGGGCAGGTGAATGAGGAGAAGGAAATGATGGTTGGAGCAGAAAGATGTTCAGAGGAATTAGGGTAGGTAGAAGGAGACCCTAGGAAGGAGTCTGAGAGAGGAAGGCAAACCGACAGAGAAAGAGGGAAAGGAAATAAGGAGAGGTTGCAGAAACTTGGCCCTCCAGATGTTTTGTGACTACAGTCCCCATCATCCCTGACCACTGGTCCTGTTAGCTAGGGATGATGGGAGTTGTAGTCCCAAAACATCTGGAGGGCCAAGTTTGGCCATACCTGTATGTAGACAGTGCAGAGATGAAGCCCCAAACTCATATATTGATTTGAAATACCCAAATATTTGATGACATGCTTCTGATATATAGACACACTCACTTGCATGTCAGGGTGGCTTAGAGATCAAATACTCAGGACGCTGCAGCATGTAAATGACACCCAGCTTTACTTACATTCAGTAAAGAACACATTGAGTTTTCCAGTTTGTGTGCTCTGGCCATTACCTTAATTTTTATGACTGCAGCACGTGGTGTGTGTGTGTGTGTGTGCGCGCGCGCACAGCTTCTGTTTATTTTGTGCTAATTAGGTAATTCAGGTTGTACTTGGCAATCACTCATGGGCAAAATCTTCACACGTGCGCAAAATTTATGAAATGCCCCCCCCTTCCCTCTCCTTTTTAACAATTCTGGGAACAAGGCAGCCCAAAAGGTCTAGGCAAAACCACACTAGAGACCTTACAGGATATGAGCTAAGCAAAGCTATTAAAAATTATTTCTCTCTATCTGGTGGTTTGAGCAAGCCAAACTTTCTGTAGAAGACAGGTCTATTCATGGAACGTTAAAGGCAAACTCTCAAGGCAACTTTCTTTTGCAAAAGACTGCTGTATTATTAAAATACATAAATCAGCAGATAGACTAGATCAGCTACTGTGTGGGCCTCCTTTTACTGTGAAATGCTTCAGGAAAGGATCACAGACTAAAAGAGCAGAGATGGCCTGATTACACACTGACTTATTTTCTTGCACATTCCATGGTAAAGCAAGGTAGAGATGGAAAAGGAAACTTTTTACTTCACACATGGAGGGTGGCATCCAGCCAGACTTGGAGCCTCTCCAAGGTGTGAGAAAGTAGACAGAAAGGAGTCCCTTAAAAGAGAAGAGGGAGGAAAGGACCCTCCTAAGCAAGCTAAGAATTGGCAACTGCTTTGTCTGTTTCCTAGCAGCTTAACACTTGCATTATTTCCTACCATGATAACGATTTCTCAGCAAATGACTTGCACGGATTAGCGCTATATCAGAAACTCAGTGTCCAGTGAAGGTCATCTTTGGGGGCCTTTGCACAACTGTAATAGTTGTAGGAGAATAATTGCTCTTCAGGCTTTAATTCTGTGGACTGCTTAAAAATGGCTGAGGATCTTAGCATTTTTGTTTTGTTATGTTTAACAAAGCACATATGTAGCTCATATTTTAACAGTGGCTATCCTATTTACAGTGGTACCCCGGGTTACAGGCGCTTCAGGTTACAGACGCTTCAGGTTACAGACTCCACTAGCGCACAAATAGTACCTCGGGTTAAGAACTTTACCTCAGGATGAGAACAGAAATCGTGCAGCGGCGCGGCGATGGCAGCGAGAGGCCCCATTAGCTAAAATGGTACCTCAGGTTAAGAACAGTTTCAGGTTAAGAATGGACCTCCAGAACAAATTAAGCTCTTAACCCGAGGTACCACTGTATTTTATTGATTTGCTTTGTTGTTCTCTTGCTTTTCAGACAATTTTTGCCATGTGGCTCATATCAATTAAAAAGGAGAGGGACTCACACACTAGAAAGATGGATTGACACAGACACATGCAAGTCACAGATGCATCAGGAGAACAAAGGGGAAGGGAAGCATTCAAACTCAGGCACAGGCTAGGCTCATTCCTGTCACATTTAAGCATAGTCTACCATGATGGCTGAATGCATCCATTTTTATTTATTACAATAAATACCAGAAACTAAGTGAATGTTTTCCAGGAATCCTTACATGTACAAACAAAACATTCGTCATTCAAAGTTGAAGGCCATTCAACACAATGTCAAATCAGTCTGTCCTGTAGTCCAACATACACAATCACCCTTTGGGGCCTTTGAGAGGATATGAAAATATAAACATAAATCAAAATGCTATTGAACTTCTGGGAAACGTAAATCAACATCCCAGGTTCCTCTACTCCACTTACCCAAAGTCAAATAAAAGTGACATCAGCTCAAAAGCGAAGCACAAGAAAACCAACTCTACCTTTCTCCTTTTGTATTCTGTTTATTTATTTAGCCATCCGATTGCTCTCACTAGATCCTGCCACTGCTTGATGGTCTCAACAAGCATCACCCAGAGGCTCTTGAATCTCACCACTGAGGAAGTCAGTTCCCATTATCTTGCTTCAGTGAGATTTAAGGCCCTGCTGCTAAGGCTTGCTGCCAAGGCTTAACATTGCCACGAAGGGTACGTAAATTGTATTCGGTTGAAACGTAGGTGTGCAGTCTCCCAACCAGCCCTGGGCTCTTGCCTGTTTAAGAACTTGGAAGTTGGTAAGGAGTCAATCGCTCAGGTATTTTCTGCCTTGGAGCCCAGAGGTTGCTTTGGTTAGAGGTAGATATATGTGTGTATCTCTCTGACTATATACAGTAGAGTCAGCCCCCCAAACCAGAGAAAATGTAGGGAAGGAGGACCAGCAGCCTCACTGAGGCAGCTGCTAAAATCAGAACCTTAAAAGTGTGAGGGGAAAGAAATATAAATACAATTTTTAAACATCACTCACTTAGGTGTCATTTGTTTTTAATATTTAACGCTGTGTTGTTTTTAATACTTGATTGGGAGCCGCCCAGAGTGGCTGGGGAAACTCAGCCAGATGGGCGGGGTATAAATAAATTATTATCATCATCATTATTATTATTATTATTATTATTATTATTTGTTATTACTATTATTTACTTCCTGGTCTCTGAAGCTATAGGCTAAAATACAAAAGGGTTGACAAAAGGGTTCCAACAAAACCATTATTCAAGTAAAAAAATTTCCCACCCCTCTTTTCTCCCTGCAACCCCCTGCAGCCCACCCCAAATCTGAACCCAGAGGGTTGGGGGATTGAGTAGAGCAAATTTGGGAGATGTGCGAGGGAAGGAAATCTCCATTGCCCAAGTGGAAGTTGTTTCAGTCATTCAGTGACTTAGCTGGACAAAACTGCAGTCCTAACCCCAAGGTTGGGGCTGTGCTAGTGTACCTCTTGAAGAACCAGTTTGGCCCCACTGGCACATCCACAAAGCCATGGCCTTGCCACTGCTCCATCACACGCCAGCCCCATTGTGTTGAACCAAAGGTGAAACATTCTGGAAGGTCTGCAAACGCCACCTTGGTAGTCAAGATAACCCCCAAAATAATGGGTAGCTGCTGCAAGAATGAGCTCCTATATGTTCACATTTCCTTGCTTTGATATATGCTAATTGGCTTGCTTTGATGCTTTGCTTATCTTTGGACCTTGGGATGCTGGGCTCTAGGTCCAGCAAGAGGAAAAGCTGCCACCTATGGCCTCACTGGCCGGGTGTGATGGGAGGTTCTGGGCAAACTGCCACATGCTCCTTTGTGCCTGAAGGTTATTTGCTTGAGCACAGACAAGTCACGGCAACCTCTCACTGCTGTAGCATCCATCCCACGTCAGTAACAGCAGCGAAGCCCGGCAGACTGTAAGCTTACTCTTTCTTATAATAAAGCGCCAGAGCTGATCACTGTGGCATTTTTTTGCATCCTTCTTTGGTATCCCTGCAGCAAACCACTGCCACGAGCTCACCTTTGGGCCAGTGAGATCAGGACACACTTCCAGGTAAGCTAGAGTTATACCAGTGTCAAGAAGTTAGCTCTGTCCCTATATACCATGCATAGGCAAACTCAGCCCCATAGTTTTGGGACTACATTTCCCATCATCCCTGACCACTGGTCCTGTTAGCTAGGGATGATGGGAGTTGTAGTCTTTTCCCCACTAGCAGAAATGGCTACAGAAGGGCTCCATCATGACTGAGGCCCCAGCTTCACACTAGCAGTTGTTCCCCCACCAGTGGTAGCCAGCAGTAAGCCCCCAAACTGCTCCTCAGCCCCATTTAGGTGTCATTAATTCCACTCAAACTGATCCAGAGCAGATTCCAACGTATAGTTCGCAGAGTAAAAACTTAAACACGTTGCAGGATGCCCCCCAAAACAGACCAGAGGCAATCAATATTTCATCCAGCAGAGCTTTACTGCTACTGAAGGCAAATGAGCATAATGGCCACAAATCCAATACATTCAGGATTGGCACTGTCCATAAGAAATCTAGTTGCAGCAGACTTAACTTAAACTTACAATAAGACTAAAACCTTAACACTAAGCATACTATGTACAGAACACAACACCAAAAGGAAAGAGAGAGAGAAAGTGAAGCCCAGGCTCCTTCTGGCCTTATTATTATTATAGTCAGCATGAACTTGACAGAAAGAGATAACAGAACCAGTTTAAGACAGCTGTACTCAGCTTCTCTGAAGGAATAACTCAAACATCATGAACCTTCTGCTTGTTTCTAGGCAGAATAGAAACTTACATGTCAGCTAGAAATTTCCAGCTTGCACCAGTTTGTTTCACACAGAGAAGCTTCCAGAACCCTCTAGAATTAATTAGAATAGGAAAAATCTCAACACATCAGACCAATACTTTCTGTACCAACTGACATTAGGATCACACTTCTCATCTGCCATAGATGACATGATGTTCTCTAGATGATTTTGGACTACAGCTCTCATCATTCCTGACCATTGGCCATGCTGATGGGATGGAAGGGAGTTGGCGTCCCATAACATCTGGCTTCTCCTACTGTACACACTTGAACAGGGGTGGACTGGTAGTATGGCAC